CCTAGTTAGCTTAGCTTAGCATAAAGCCTGTTACCAGCCTGGCTCTGTCTGAAGGTACCACAGCGTGCAAACTAGAACCTCTCGAGCTTTCCAATTAGAGGTGTTCCAATCCCATTTGTTCCTTCCCGATTCCGATACATGAACTTGCCGATAGGCCGATACCACATCCTTACGTATATATTTTAATGATTTTCATTGTTGTGTTGCCTGGCTCCAGTTAAGCCCTTTGTGAAATATAACCAAATAGATAGAGAGAATCATTAATGCCATAGAAGTTTGACAGAATTTCCGATGTTGAATATTACCAAATTTCTAGCTCTGGCTAACATCTTACTCTCCGCAAGTACCTAGGTGAGCCAATCTCCCCTCTGGCTCGTCTCATGCTGCACATGTGCAGTACCGATGGAGGCAGATCGTACTGATCGGGTAGCAAGTGACACGTGTTGCTCCCCTGTAGCGTAACTTAGCTGATAAATGATAGGATAACGTGATATCGTATCAGTGCATAGACTCAATACGCAATCCTGAATTTTAGGCCCGATTGCAAACAACAACAAACAACTCTATCTCTAACAAACAAGTTATATCATGTGTGATTCATTTATACAAAAACTTAAGTAAAGCGACAAGCTGTGATTTTATAGATGGTTATGTGCTTGTGTCGTTGAAGTAACTTCCTCCTAACTTTGCCTCCAAAAGCAAGCCATACAGCTTTGCAGCTGTACATTACAAAGAAAGTTTTCGTAGGGAATTTTTACTGTATTGAATTCTACATAAAAAAAGAAAAGTGCAATAAAAAGAATATCAAGTTTCTTGTTTCAGAAAAGCATACATCTTTGAACTACTGATTAATAACTACCAGTGTCCTGCTTTCCTAAAATAAATGCCACTCAATGATGTCTCCTCCATCATTTGTCACTCTCTCCTGACGTGCTATACCTTCGCTGCCTTTGTTTGTTCACTGTATATTTTCAGCCTAAACTCTGCAGTGACACGTAGCCAAAAATAGCGCCAGCATCATCTGCTCCTTATATAAACACACAGCAGCTGCCAACAACTATTGTGGATGAGCCCCAGAAATACCCAGAATGCAGCACAATGTGGCATTAATTCCCGAGCCCTATTGGGATCCCCAAAATTAGTTCAAAATGGTTTTATTTCCAAAATTCAGATGGGGGATGAGTTACTGTGTTGTTATGGTGACAAAAAGTATTTAACAGCAAAGTCAACAGAGTATCAGTCAGGTTTCTGTTTTTTCGTGTTTTATTATCTTATTATGTTTATTTATCACCAGATTTCTTAAAATGTGTTCATCCAAACTGGAGAAATGCAAAAAAATCACTTTTTTTTTCCTGTTTTTGCAAAATGAGGTCTACTGCACCCACTCTGAAAAAAAGACGGAGCAACGAATAGATCTTAACACAAAATGCTACGATCTCTGCTTTTTTTAAGGAGATTTTATTTTGAAGACAGCGAAGGTGACAAAATGATATACACTTTGTTGTATATTGGCTGCACTTACAGCAGCAGGGGTGGGGTAATCTTCTACCAGAACATAATACAAGATGACAGGGGAGCGTGATACGCATTACTGACATGCTGAGTGTCTTTTTCCAAAGACGCATTATTGATTCCCTTCTGACAAAAATCTGTGTGAAAGACACTTGAAACCCACTGGTGTGATTCACTGTAAAAAAATAAGACCGCTGCTTACACGGCAAGATGCTTTGGCTTGAAGGCAAGTTGACAACATATTGATCAGAGCAACAGGTTATCCACAGTGCAAATCCATTTTCATGCGCATACGCGAACACATGCAGACAGGCGAAGCATCTTTCATAAAACCACAATTACAACCACATAAACGAGCGGGAGTATATCAGTCAGAGCGGTAAATGCGGGGCGGCCAGTGGACAGACCTGGCGGCGGGCTTTGAAATGCTAGCAAATCAATTGAATGTAGCTCACAAACACACACACACAGGCACGCACACCAACACACACACACCCTACAGCCACATAAAAAAAAAGAAAAGAAAAGAAAGAAAACGCCCCAAAAACAGTTTTTATTGGATGCTCAGAAACGGTCGGTGATCAAACTCAAACAGCCAAAAGAGCCACAGTGATTTAGTGGAGCGAAAATCCATTATAGCTCCAACCAAAGGTAATGACTTCTTCAGGCCTTCCAGCTGATTCTCCAGAACAAGCGTGGGAGGGGAAAACACACACAGACACACATACACATACGCTGGACAAATCAGGCTCTTGTATAGCACAGTGTGACGTCCTGAAAGAGTCCATGCTGACAATCACCTCCTTTATACCTTCAATCACTCACAGTGACAGTGGAGAGAGCAGCACATTTATACCCTATTTATACTGAAGTGGCTTATGTATAACCGCTGGAGGTACAAACTACCACCTGATACAAAAGGAGGAGAAGAGGAGCTAGCGGCACTGATATTGATGTGTCTAATTGGTTAAAGGTTCACTATACAATATTCAGATAATTAGCAGCAAAGACTATTCGCTATGTAAAGATAGAGTGGAGTAATGTCTACCTGAGCTCTCCCTCTGTGCGTGTTCTTATGCGAGCTTCTCTGTGGTTTTAGCATGCTTTCATGTGTGCCCCCTCTGGCTACCTCACGGCCGCTACTCTGAACCGCTCACACGTGGTGGTTACAGGTGATAACATCTCCCCGACCGACGGCTACGTTGTGGAAGCGTAGCGCTCACCCCTCTGTCAGCACTGTTGCCGTTCTCTGCGCAGTTGGAACCACTTTGCGCGAGTGCAGGTCATGGGGAATGTTGGAGGTATGTGACAAAACTGTATGTTAAAGACTCGCTGTGTTGAGAGTTGTGTGGGGGCCCTAGCTATGCTCAGAATTTTGAATTTAGCACTTTTAATCATTACATGAAGACATAAAGCTAAACATTATGGCAACAATACAGAATACAGAAGCACACTATGCTGCAGTACATGCTCCACATAACACTGACCTTACTGTAAAAAGTGGAGAAAAAAAAACATCAACAGTGGTAATAGCTCAAACTGGTGATATGCTCAACCTTCAATATGCTTCACCCCCCCTTGCACCATCATAGCAATTCATAAAACTAGTTGTTACCTTGAACAAGGCAGCTGAGCACAAATGACTGGGGGAAGAATCTGCGCAGAGTAAAACAATATATTTAAAAAAAAGCTTTCTCTGTCTCTTGACAGAGAATGTTGAGGTGCCCTTGAGCAAAGCGGGCAATCTTAACACATCGTACGGAGCAGCGAGTGTTTCTGGAGAGCCTTTGTGGCGCTCGGTGAGATGGCCGGGCGACGCAATTTCTTAAATGACGCCCTGCGGTGTCCAAGACAACTTTGAACCTTGCCATCAAGGAGATAGATTAAGCTCCTCATCGCTCCACAGAGGAGAGTACTGAAACTGCATTTGAAGCACCCTTTTGCAGAAGAGTTGAAATAACTCCCCAGGTAACACCGGGCGCTCCGAGCATTAAAAACACGCTACGCTCTAAACGCTGCCGGCAACATGAAGCAGAGCCTCCTTGTAGTCGAATGGAAGTGTAGAAATAAGGCAGTGCAGTATTGCAGGTTCAAGGTTGGTTGAGTTTTACATGGTTTTTACATGGTTATGGGTGGATATCATAAATATCAAACTACTCTATTGTGTGTAAAACGCATTGTCATCTACCGTATATCGAAGTAAGACAGTTACCGCATCATTAGCAAGCAGCTGTGGCAATGTGTGTAGTCTCACTGTACACACCCACACAAAGGGTCAAACTGGCCTCATGTCATGGAGTTCATGATGCACTCTACGTGATCTCTTCTTCCCAACATCTTTTATTTCTCATCAGGAATTTACACTATTGTTTTCTCGGCGTCGAACTAGTGTGTTAGCGCGGCTTAAATTCATATGACTTGCCATGACATTACAAACACGTCTGTAAAGCTTCACTAACTACTGTTTAAGACTCATCCTTGATTAGAGCCAGCTTTAGGGCCAATGCAATAATTGCCACCCCCTAAATAATTACAGCGGAGAGTTCTTTACCGAGGTAAGTAACGAACTCTAATCCTGTAAAGTAGGTAATTAAGGGGTGGCAGCAGCTAATGCTACTTTACGCCACGCTTACGGTATGAAATGAGGAACGCGCATGTTGAGGTCACGGCGGCACGCCATTAGAACATCGTGTGAATGAAGGTAACAAAAAGTGAATAATGCTAGGAATCGACGGGAAGGAGCAGTGAGTGGATACAAACAGAACCAGAGGAAATGTGTACATTTAGGATTATAAGCTGGAATCCACGCACAGGGACACAGGGATGTGTGTTGTATGGGTGACACACAACCCCCCCACCACCACTTGGCCTGCCAACTGATAAAACACTTGAGACTGAACTACGGGACCTGAGCCGCTACCGGCGTCTCTCCTCACTCCGCTCTCCCTGTTCTCAAATCAGAGGCCACGACGGCTTTTTGCCTCTTCCACGACGCCAACGCCGGAGAGACGAGCAAAAACCTGGAGCTGACACAAGATGAAAGCTCAGCATGCACATGTTTAATCCTATTTTATTTCTCAGCGTGATCGACAGCGCCGGGTCTGCTAATTAATTCAGGATCCCTTCCGCGATCGCTCTACATAGCAGTCATGGGTGCTTGCAAATGTATGGCATTTAGCAGGACTCCCGATGCATACAGCAAGACAAGACTCCAGTGTAATAGTCCCATCCAAAAGGGACTTTTTTTTTTTTTAAAAAGTCCTCTTGGGGATGTGACTAAAGTGCAGTAGGGATTCTGTAAAAGTGCAGTAAAACTAAGACTCCTACAGTAGCTGCATATGTACATTTTCTGATGAACAAAGGTTTTGAAGATTAGCCGGGGGAATGGATTTTGCTGCACAATGATGCAACTGGCAGAAAGGCCAGGAAAAAACAAAGCTAACTGTCTGGCTGCCTATCTGCCCGTCTGCCTATTCGTGTAGACTTACCTTTCATACCAAATTTGGAGCGCCGGCCGTATTTGTTGATGAGAACAAAAAGGACGAGGAGGAGGACGCAAGCGAAGCCCGCCAAACCCACGGCGATGGAAACCTGAGAGGAAGGAAAAACGCTGCGTCAGACTGTGTTCACATCGTAATCCTCTCCAGCTTTCTGATCACCTTAAACACGGCAAATCAGAGTTTAATCCACTAGATTGTGACGAATGCTTTCTCATAGATTACAGCAGTCTGGGGGAAGGAAACAAATACTCGATACCTGTTTTGGCTGCGATGTATTCCAGTTGACAGAATATAATTTCAATATAATCCTTGTGTGCAGCAAGACTTACTCTCAGAGCAGTTTGAAAATAAAACTGCAGAAGCTACTTTAAAGCTGTCTCATCATCTTCATCATCATTACAATAATTTATTCTGAGCAATTTTGAGAAATACCGAACACACCTTTTTTTGGTTTACACAAGACATAACCGACAGGATTAAATGTTCTCATATTTAATGTGCTGTTTATTAATCTAATAAACAGTTGTTTTCTTATCAAAAAGGAAATTAATCCACAAATTAAGATTTAAACTGCGTTAATGAAATGCATTTTACTTGCTTTTCCCGCTATGACAAGTCAAAATATCTGACATGAAAACAAAAAATGATGCAACATCCATTGGGGTATTGTAGACTTTGTGCCTTGGCGCTGCATGTCAACACACAGAACAAACCCCCTCCAAGGGTCGTCTGACAAAAGCAGTTAAAATATGTGTCGAGACGCGCAGCAGCTCCGCTGAGTCCGGGGGCAATGTCTTTAGCAGCTGTTTCATCAACATCATTAGAGAGAAAACTCACCCCGAAAGTGTCTTCATCTGGTCGGCCAGAATCACCACCTGATGGCGTCGAAGGAACTGAAACACAGAAACACGCAAAGCAGGCATCAGTGGCTGAGAATACAACTGGCTGTGGTTTACTCCAACAGTTACAATAAATACATAGTAAACTGAGTAAACACTTTTTGTGAGATTTCTTATGGCAGCATGCACAGTGGATGCACTAGAATAAGTCTTTTTTTCTGTTTAATATCCACTGTATGAACCTGTTGATGCACCTATTATCACAATAAATAAGTTCAAGTGACACTTACACGGGTTAATAATGAGAATACCTGATGTGCTCTCTCTTGTATATAATTGACTGCATATTTTCAGCATCTCCACGAGGTCAAATGTTTCTTATAAATGTTTTGTGATAGCTCGCATTGCCGATTGATTCGCGTATAAACTCTTGAAAATAAGAGCGCTTGCCGTCAAGAGTACATTGAATACATGTTAGTAGGAGGTGGATTGAAGTGAACAGGAAGAAGCTTACGACTGCCATGCGTGATAAAAGCTTGAGACTATGGGGAAAAGTGTTGATGAACAATTAGGGATGGCCCCGATTGCTCAGCTATCGATTATTAATTGATATTGATTTTTTTTTACAAATAAGAGATGACAATATAGATGACAAACAAAGTAAAAGGAAAACAATATCATTGTTGACGGTTTACTCTGACTTCGGGGCGGTTCAAATCATTTTTTGGGGCGGTGTTGAAAAAAGTTAGTCTGGATCCTTGTATACCAGCCGCTATAAAAAAAAAAAGATTGGTTTCAGGCCGATATGGATCATTGACGATCTGCAATCATATCGACGGCAGAAAGAAATTGGTAATGGCATTTCTATGAACAAATATTTTTTATATGTAGAAGTGGACAAAAGGCTTTCAGTTAGAAGCCTGCACAACCTTAAATGCACTCCTAAGTCTGACACCACAAGGTGCCTGTCAAAGCCTGACATGTGATACCCAGAGTTTTAGCCCAAGCCTCAGGTGAAAGAAACAGAAAAGACATTATAATTTTTGACATTGTTGTTTTGCACCAATGCATGCTCATGCTTGTACACAGACAGTATATACAATTATACACGCATAAAAACAGAAAAGGAGTTATATACATAAAGCCAAGAGCAACAAATGTTAAATTATGTCCAACTAAATAAGCTGACAAATGCACCGTACAAACTCAAAGTCTAACACACATATTCAGACCGAACTGGATCCTGCTGGACTCAAAATAATCGTGAAGATGTCAAAATGCTACATGTCACACCTCTACAAACGGGAGTTTCTGCAAACGGCAGAGTTCTGGGGAGTGTAGGGAGAAAAGGACAGAGACAGAGCCATGAAACAAAATGAAACGGTGTCAGGGAAACTCCAGTCCGAGGCCTCCCTCCAGCCAGGACATCAGAGAGTAATTGTGGGCAAATTAATGGCCGCATGGTAGACTGGCTGCCACTGGCTCAGACACACACATAACAGTAAATTGCATTGCTCTGCGTCTGAGTGTGTGCCCTGACTACCATCTATCTGTCCCTTCTTCCCTTCATCCCTCTCTCCTCTCCTCCCCCTGCCCTCCTCTCTCCTCAGCATTATTAGTATCAACCGGCCTGTCACTCTCCCTTCTACGGCTGAGCTTCCTCACAAACTGCTGCTTTAATGTTTCACACTCTTATCACCCAAACGCCTCTCTCTCACCTGCCTCACTGTGTGGGTGTGCATGTATGTGTGGCACCGTGAAGTCCTCGCCCGCCCTACATGCAGCTCGTCGGCGCCCATCCGTTTCCATCGCCGGCCACGCTGCTTTATAATCCATGGCTGATTAGAAGGAATGGCCCTTCATATGGAGATGGAAGAAGACTCTGACAAAGGTCAGAGATCAGACCAGCCCACTTAGTCTAAGCCGTCAACAGCGAGGCTGCCACAACAGCCTGAGGCCAAACCACACATCGCAGACAGGAGATTTACGATGCAGCGCGAGAGCTGGTCAAAGCATCGATCAGCAATATGACTGCACTGGTCGCTTTACAAACATTCAAACGTCACCAGCTAACGCGGTGGGAGAGTAGCTCGTTTACACTGTGGCTGGTCTGTTAGGGGTTCAAATGGAAGCGTTATGCACGCTGAGTCGCTGATGCAAGTACCACTAAAGAGAATGACTAAAACCTTGGGTTTCCTGGGCAACTACCACATGAATGCTATGTCATACTGAGTCTTTCTGACTTAACATTTTTCAAAGCAGTGGTAATGGGGCTGTGGTGAGAGTGCTACCTACAGTACCCAGCATTATTTCCAATTTCCATTGAGAAAAGCCTTCAGTGCCGTTCTTTGTTCTTCTTTCAGTGAAGAAACACTCTCCAGTCATGATATAACTGATGCTATATCTACAATAACCTCGTTTGGAGCCACCAGCGTTGTTAAGCCCTTAGCTGCCAGTAGCTCCTGGACGCTGATTGGTCCGTGCGCTGGCTTACCGCATACAAAAGCATTACTTGAAGCCTGACAAGATGGATTTTTGTGTGATATGTAATCACGAGAAACTGTCGTTGCGAGAATCCAGGTGCCATGCAAGGTAATTGTCTTCCACCATTAAAAAAAAACTTTGGGTGGTAAATTTACCATCAACAGGTGTTTCAACAGTGACTAAGCCGGGCAGGGCTCAGCGAACGGTTGATCAAGGCATCAAAGCCCAGCTGCTCAAGTAGATGCATTGCTTACCAACCAGCAGCAGCAGACTGTTGCAGTACAGCTCACATCACTGTGAGAGAATATGTACATGTGTGAGGGTTAAGCAGGGCATCACTGAAGCATCATCTCTCCCACATCATAAAAATGGCAGCAAACCACCAGCCACTGAGTGGCTGCTGCTGTGCTTTAGAGACCTCGAACAACCTGAAAAAAGCTGTTTAAATTTCTTGACTGCCTGGGGTGATCCAAGCAGTGGAGGTGAATGACTCAACAACTTGAGATGCCATTGAGCAAGGCATATGAATGGGCAGAGCATTCGGTATAAATTCTGTCTAGCAAAGCCATCCTGGAGATGTATAATTCCATCAGGGTCCAGAACTTTGAGCACCAGTGCTTAACAGCTTTTTATGAACTGCAACACAAAGTCAACAAATTTCCCCATGGTTACAATCTTAACAGTGACCATCCAACATTAAGTGATGTGTTTGTGGGTGTGTGTGCATAACGACGACAGACAAACAAGTAGTATAAAAAACAAAACAAATAAACTGTATGGTTACATTTGAAAATACAAGCACTCACCTAATTCCACTATGTCTGCAAAAGAGAAGACAGAAAGTCACGCTATGTCAATCGATTGATACAAGGTATTAACCTTGGAATATTGACCATGGGGAGAAATTTGCCAGTCTTTGTGAGTTTATTCCCCCTCCCTGTGAACTCAGAGCGAACTGCAGGCGAAAAATCTACCTGACTGAACTGTGTATGAACCCTGGCTGTGATTCAGCCGGCGGGGATCAACTCCACAAACCTACACCCTGCACAGGGAGATTTTAATAACAACTAAAGGCTCCCAGTAGTTCTTCCACCGAGGGTGGAACCTGTAATTCATACAACAGGTAGTTCAAACGAGAAATTCAACTAGTCGAAGACCTACTCCAAATCGTGATGCCCATTTCCAAAAAGTGGGCCATTCTAGCTGCTGGGGGAATCAGGGAGTTACTTGGCAGAATTTCTTCTTTTCTCTTTTATTGTAATTCAAATCTAGGAGCAGGAAGGAGATGTTCAGGCAGTAAAAATGTGTTAATAACCCTTGTATAAATGTCATTTTTTCCCCCACGAGTATACTCTCAATTGTGATTATGGGGACATCCGTGCTGGCAGCTGCCAACAGTGCATAGCTCATCAGCCACAAGCACAGTGAGGAATGGCTATCAAGCGGAAATGATCCACTCACCTTCTTCATCCGGGGCCATGAGGAAGTGACCATACACCGTCTTGGTGACCGTTCCTAAAGGGTTGCTGGCCTCGAGAGTGTAGTTGCCGTTGTTGATGTGCGTTGGGTTCTGGAAGGTCAGGCAGCCCTCCAGGTAGTCCTGGTAGAAGTCCATCTCGGTTCGGATGTAGTTGTTCTGGGGGATCTCCTTTTGCTTGTAAAACCAGCGCAGCTTGGGTTGGGGGTAGCCCCGAACCGTGAACTCGATGCAGGTATCGTGGCGCTGCTCGGGCTCAGCCAGTCTCAGGATGACCGGAGGAACTGCAGTGAAGAAGGAAACAGACTATGTAATTTACGTCACAGATTTGAGAAAAAAAGACAATCCACCCATAGCATGAGGGAAACACCAGAATGAGCGGTTCCTGGATCCCCCCGAACGTTGTATTGCCCGTCTTGAAACCTTAAAGACGGGATTCTTGAGGGTTTGAGTCTGATTCTTGTGTTATAACGTAAGTTGACAGAGTTCCACAACCCTTGGGCTGATGAAAACCTGTCCTAATTCTTTGAAGAACCTCAAATAGACTTAACACAAAGCTGTTTTGATTTGTGTGTGTGTTACATACTGCAGCAGTACATGTAGTGGTGGAGAAAAATTAACAGATCGAGGGGCTCCTTTCGCCTGAAGCAGGCAGAGGAATCTCCGCAGCATAAAGGAGCACAAAGCCTCTCTTCCCTGACATGCAGCAACACACCTCTGAGTCCACAATGCAGCCAAGCTGAGAGGCAATTTATCACTTTAATACCATCAGATACATTTCATAAACAATTCATACGCTGATTTGTCTTTGCGACGAGTCAGTCTCGCAGCTACATCATCAAATGGAAATATTTGGCAGTCAGTATTACCTGGCAGTATCTCAGTGTCTGTTCTACATACCAGACACCATCCCCACCCCTCCCACCAAACTTACCCATCAACTCCACCTCTCACACACACTCATAACACGCCATTGCTTTGTCTCTTGCTGGGCTTCAATGCCTGCAGTTTCTATAGGCGTGTGTGAGCAATCCCATTTACATTCGCTAGATCTTCTTTGATGTGTGTTCATGCCGTCATTCAGATGACCCTGCAGCAGCCCCCATGAATCCCCACCTGCAGTTTCATGCAGTGTGCTAATTCAAGATTTCAGATTACAATTTGAATCAAGAAATAAGGCTGGGGTTAGTCATTTATTAATTCAAAATACCAAGTAGTTGATGATTACAGGCACCAAATGGGGAACTTGCATGGCCAAATTTACCTGTTTGGAGGCCCCAGGGTAAAAGTTTGTTTTTGGGCCCCAGACTCCCCCCTTACCTATGACCTTTGCACAAGCCTCCAAGTGCCCATTACTGCAAGAACAATAGGCTCAACAAAGCAGATTATACAGCAGCTTTGTTGTTTCCCCAGACATCCAATCAGTATTACTACTTCGGCCCAGGTTTTCTGTGGGTAAAAACCACACCAGCACGGCAACGAGCTCATGATGAAAGTGTTGACATGCTGATATCTAGCAGGTGTAATCTTTACTATGTTCACAATCGAAGTTTAGCGCGTTAGCGTGCTAACATTTGCTCTATGGTATTAAACACGGAGTACAGCTGAGGCTGGTGAAAATGTAGGTTATTTGGTCCAATTACCTGCAAAAACTAAAGTATTTAACATATTAGTTTTTATAGGTTAAAAGTTTGACGTCATAATGGCACCATATAATAACTTGAGGTTGTTGCAATTCATCCCGAGACGACCAAGAATGTCTGAAGCTAATTTCTTGGCAATGAATTCAATATGTTGAGACATTTTACTCAAAACCACAAATGTCAACCTATTGGTGGCGCTATAGGAGATCAGCAAAGTAAGTATGATTCATCCTTTGGGTAACATGAAGGTCTGCCCCTAATTTGGTGCCAACCCATCAGGCAGCTGTCGAGATATTTCACTGGATAAGTAAAACTTTAACCTGCAGATGGCACCAAGGGAAAGGTTTAGGTAATCCGCAAAGTCATTAGGACTTATCCTATGGTGACCATATGGTAAATGTCTGTACAGAGTTTCATGGCAATCCATGTAATAAATGTAGAAATATTTCATTGCACCTTTGCAGTGCAATGTTGTAGCCATATTTGCAATTACTTGAATTAAGTATAACCAATTGACACCCATTCAACTTGGAGCTTTTTCGGCTCCTGTGGTTCCATGAGTTGCCCTCTTGGCCCATTTTGACCAGTTAGGAATCCAGCCTGGGAGGTTTTTCTGATGTGGTCGGACAACATGTCGCACAACCTACTTCTTTTCCAGCATAACAACCTCCCTAATTGTAAATACATGTGGGCTTCATCAATAATACAGTGATAGACAGTGATTGACTCATTTATAAATGATTGTCAAATAAATTGATAATAAAAGTAACTTTCAATTGCAGCCCTGGTTATTAATTAACTGGCGTGTCCCAATGGATAGCTCATGTTTTCAAACCAAATAATCACCCAGTAAAAAGATGAATCACTCATTTATTGGCGTTTGAAAGCTGTCATTTCAGAAACTGCTTTGGCGATATTGTTCCTGCTAGACAATAGTGACAATAAAGTCATTCAATTGCACTAAAGGCTAAGGCAAGAGTGTGTGTGTGTGTGTGTGTGTGTGTGTGTGTGTGTGTGCGTGTGTGTGTGAGGGTGCTGGTTGTGGGGGCGTGTGCAAAGCTGTGATTTGGAGCACATGCGAAGGAAAGAGAAAAGATATAGATGAGAGAAGTGAAAGAGTGAGGAGGGAGCGAGATGGACATGAAGTGAGGGCGGCTTAGCTGTGCAGCATAAAAACAGAGAGAGAGAGAGAAGGAGAGTAAGGGAGAGGAGGAAAAAAGGAAATTCTCCTGTTGATGGACAGTTAGGGACCGATCTATTTTCCCCTCAGTGTGGCTGTGACCCCAGTCTCAGTCAATACAATAAAAGCCATTACGGCGCTCCACAGTGATCCGTAACAACATGGTGTCCTGGTGGAGCTAATATAGATGACAGGCGTTGATAACTACATGCCTCTGATCCATGAGAACAATGAATGTGAAGGCTAGTTGTGCAATGCTATCTAGCTGCAACACTGGTGGCATATTTCAAATACCACGCTCCAGCCGGATAGGATATCATGGCCAGCAGTGACAGAGGAGTTTCAATCTCTCTGAGTTGAACCACATTGTGATGAAAATGTTAACCTGTAAGAAGCAGCATGATGATAATAGTGTCTCAAGGGATTCAATGAAAATGTCCTCACTAGTTACTCATTATAAGAGTCAATGCTTTGCTCTACCTGTAGAGCTACTCAAGGAAAAGTACTACAAACCCATGTGCTAGTTAGTTCCTTATTTTTACTAGAGAGCTATGCTTGTACAGTAGGACCAAAGGAAAACATGGTAAGTTGTGTGAGTACACAATGCTGTAGAGCTGCTATTGTTCCAGGCAGCAGCAGAACAATGGCTGGCAAAATTTGCGTTGTGGTTAATTACAGTTAAAAAAGAAAAAAAAAAAGAAAAAAAAAAGAGAACTCATCTTTGAATGCAGAGAATGTCACTTTGACGGCTGGTAATTTTGCTGTCAATCAGATTACTCCCTAATCAGAGCGGCAGTTTAAGCTATTTTATGACATTTCCAGAGACAATAGGCTGCGCAGGGGAGGAAATGTAATTACCATCGGAGCATGTGTTGAAAAATTAATAAGTTAATTTGCAGCACCAGCAGAGAGTGTCAACAGAAAAGAAAAAAAAGAAGAATGCCTGGAGATGTACATCCATAGAGTGTCCGTGTGGAGGGAGCCCCGAGGACTAGATGTTGCAAAGTCAATCTGTCATTCCAGCGCGGTCCTTAGCAGCTCTGCTTCGGTAGGGGAGGGTTTGAATTGGTGACAAATCTCCCCTGTCCTGTAGCGTGATGCATTGCAAACTGCCACAATAGACTGCGCTTTACGACAGCATGCTCGCTACAAAAAAGAAAAATGTCAGACATCTTTAATAAATACTGGCTTTGAATACAATCTGTCCCGAATCTGCCCAGGGCCAATCCACAGGGTAAAGTTATCTAAGAGCTGACATATATATAGTGTAATTCATGGTCTGGATATAAGAGGAACATCCTGATGGTTACCAAATCGTTGCTTTATCATTGCTGGGGGGATTTTTCTTTTCCTTTTTCCACTCGGATCAAGGCTGAGCGTTTATGTGGCCTGGAGGGTATGTTCTTGCTAATTGGCTACATCAATTTCACTCGGTTTGTAACTGTGCAACACCTCATTGCATTCTAAATGTACCTGCATAATTTGGCTGTTCTGCCTGACAAAGGAGATTTGTTCTTTCCTGTTGTAAATTATTCTCTTAGACTGTCAGTGTCATTAATACAGGATATATTTCCGTCTCCAACATAAGTCCATCAAAGCTGCCACTAAAGACATCTCACTGCACCAGGTCCATTCCAGATCTCTTTTTCATTCTTGACCTACAGTTATCTTCTCTGCTGTGTGCCAGATCTTGCCCAGTTGAACTAAAACTCAGTGCCGACCATTCATGTCAAGATCTACCTTCTACAGAACTTTGAAACTATTAAAGAAAACCAAAAAAGATCAACTAGTAATATAGACATATAACCAAGTCCAGACACAATCTACATCACAATCCTGAGCTAGCTTAATGTAACAAGTTACTATTGATTTAACATAAATGAAGGTAGATCAACAAGACTGCGGCAATATAATGAGAGTATGTCCCCTGCCTTCCATTCATTGACCATGAGCAAAACAGCTCAAGAACAAAATATCTGACTTGTCCTCTAGCGCCACCCTGTAGTTTACATATTTGGCATTTGGTGAAGTGTTTTGCCAACTACTGGATGGATAGCTATGGAATTTGGTACAGACATTCATATTCATACATTTTGCCATCATTAAGTAAAAATATACATTTGTCCAATACTTTGGTTTTCTTGTTAAGCAAATGTGAGTGTGCTAACACGCTAAACTAATTTGATGATTTGGACAGACAGACTGCCACGTCTCCTACAAAATGTCTTTATATACAAAATACATTTAGGAGGAAACACTTAGGGGTGGTTGATTTATGGTTGGCGTACAAAGAACAGGACTTTGACGCTGTCGATCAATAGTTTTGGTCCTACATGCTGTTGAGTTTAGGCTACAAAACCATTCTGTTAAACTTGGATGATGAGACCGGTGAGAGGGAGTCAAAATAGAAATTAAAACTGGTGTTAGCTCTTCCCTTTATGGTCAGTCAAAATCCCAATTAGCAGATCTACTGTCTTTAAACTCAGCCAGGCCAGCTTGTCTCAGTTATGACCAAATATTTAGAGTAGCTGTTGGAAATTGATGTATTCCTTATAAAAATAATTGAATCCAATGTCACTTCATCACTGGAAGTTAATACCAGTATTTTCAAATTGTGCTGTCTTTTGGTGCCCTGGATTATTGAAACCGTACCAGCCTGGCTGCCAAACCATGGCAGTCCACAGACAAGTTAATGGCCTTTAATGTGGATAAGCCACTAGCTCAGTGGTCGGCTGAGATCTCATTCCAAACAATCACAACACCAGCAGTGTTAACTGATTAGCAACCTTCAACCACAGAGCAGCGTTATTTCACATTTTAAGCATTAGAGTCTTATTCAGAGCATCCATGAAGAATGAGCAAATAAGATCTAATACCCAAGAAACACGACTACTAATGAAGACATGACAAATAATAGGGTGACAGAAATTATGGTATTTCTGTTATTGCAGTGTGGAAGCGCCTGTGCCAACCCTAAAAATGTCATTGAAGGGGAAAGCATTGACTATCAGAGTGATAAAGGCAGGAACTGAAGTGTGAACAGAAAGAGGTCTTAGGCACCATCAGAGCGGAAGTGCACCAGAAACAGAACTGAAACCTCTTTTTATACTTCCTGTTTCTATTTGCGTCCATACTGTTTGTTCATTTAGAACAAACAATGTCCTCTCTCACATCCTCTATAAAAAATGGAGTCCCTTTTCTGTTGGTTCCGTTTTTTGGTCCACTTTAAGAGGACTGAGTTTGTTTAGTTCAAAAAGAACTAAATTATATGTGAAATCACGCTATGTAAATTTAAAGTTCTTCTCAAAGGAAACATTGCTGACCCAGCATTTAATCAAGAGACAAACACCATGACAACCTAGAATTTTTAGCCTCACTAGGGGAGGCAATATCCTCTGCCAGTCCACACTTTTGGTCAAGACCAAAATATCTGACTTTTCCTCCAGCGCTAACGTAATGATGACATATTTGGCATTTGGTGAAGTGTCTTGCAAACTATTAGATGGATTGCTGTGGAATTTGGTATGAACATTCATGTTCCCCTCAAATTGAAAAGCTATTCGACATTGATAGTTAAAAATTCACATTTTCCAATACTTTGGTTTACTTGGCTTACCTGGCTAATGACATTCCTAACAGCCTCAGCTTAGTGCAAATATGCAAATGTTAGCTTGCTAACACGCTAAACTTAGATCATTTTATGGACAGACAGACATTTTACTTGCTCAACTTCTGCATGAGCATTATCATTGTGAACATGTTAGCATGCTGGTTTTAGCATTTAGCTCAAAGCTACGATGTACCATGCACAGTACAAAATAACCACACAGAGCTGCTAGCATGGCTGTAAACTCTTAGTCAAAAGAACATAAACATCTCTTTTAACTGTGGGTTAATAAACCTTGGAGAGAAACGCAACAGTGAACGTTTGTGAAGCCATTTTAATTTACAAAATATGCAAATGACCGCATTAACATTCAATGTGACACTAAAACCCCGGAATCGATTATTAACCCAGAGTTGAAATAAAACTATCATTAGTTAAGCCAAGGGGTTTCATAACTCAAAGCGTTAAACCCAAGCTAACATGTAGGTATAAAAAGACCTTCCAGTTGCAAAGTAGCTTCCAGTCTCTACTTTGTAGTTGAGCATGATGTTAGTAGGTTTACACCTTGGGCCAAGATACTGATTTATTTAAATTAGAAGATTAATTAAATGCATTAGTAAGAATATAAGCATGTATTTTTTGTCAAATACCTACCTTCACTGAACACATGGGCAGCATTAGTGTCAACTCTGAGTCAGAGTTTTACTAATTTCAAGGGAATCATTTAAGGCCTTAAGGCTTTCTTTTAATAATATACAAATTCAAGCAATGGGGTAAAAAAAGCAGCAGCAGGTAATCTATAAGGAGAACCCGAAGTGTACATCTGAAAAGTGTGTGTCACTGGCTCTCCACCATGGGCTTAAGTGTATCCTTCACGTCACTCCTGCATCCCCCCCCACACACACACACACACCCACCCCGCATTCCCCCCCCTCCCCTATGCAGTGCATGGCCAGAGTTTCCCTAGCTTAAATCATAGAAGAAATTCAACTTACATTGTACGTTGAGCTGGATGGAGGAGTTGGTCATCCCCACCACGTTCTCAGCGATGCAGGTCAGCTGGAAGTTGTTGTCATCTCGGCTGATGTTGAATAGCGTCAGGTTGATGGAGTGGATGTTGGGCCAGTACACATTGGACTAGGGGAAAGAGAAAGAGACACACAGACGGAAATGAGAGACAGGTATGTGAAGGATAAACGGTAACAGGGGGTTCAGATGTAAACACTAAAATTAAAGTTAATTATTGATTGATTCAATAACATTGCAGTACCAGTGGACATGAAACACTGCGGTGATCTAGTCTGATTTAATTACTGTAGGATTAGAATGTAAAGTGTGACATATTGTAAAATATGGCACGAATGTGACTAACAAATTCACAGCTTTTCACCTTTTAGATAGCTAAATACAATGCTTGTGTTTCCCTTCAGTTGGCCAGGTTCCCCGACACCTCACTCAGCTACAGTATCCGTCTACCCTAAAACATCAAGCCTGAGGCTGAGGTAACTTTCATCTGCCACGCAGCATTTTCAGACACCGCCGTTCTTGCCTCCTTGCTGTTTATCTCCGTTGTTGTATCCGTGACGTCCCCGGGGGCCCCGGGTTTGCCACCTCACTGCGGGTTCAGCCCAGGACTCGAAGTCTCACAAAATAATTTTGCACAGTGGTAGATCAACATGGTGAGCTATGCTGCGCGTTACACCGAGGCCCCTGTTCTTCATATGGGAATAAGTGAGTTAGCTCTACTTGAACGGTGACAGTGACATGACATAAGCCTGGATTGTTTTCTCCAAAGCGGGTTGAAGATATATCCGGAGCTGTTTTCATAGCAACAAGTCCTAAAGCCCAAGCCTGCAAAGATTGTGAGTTCTTTGAGTGCAATCCTATAATTTACACATTTTTAGATACAGTATTAAGAGGTTTACTTAAAAAATAGAAGCAATCCGAATTTTGGATGATATAAGCAAAAGGACATGTAGTTTAAAGACCAGGGGACAGCAATGTCTCGGAGGTATGAATATTATCTCCAAGCAACCAGGTGGGCCATTAGTGGTGTTATGATCAATGCTCCAACAATATTTGTATTGCTCTGCTATTTGCGAGAACCTCAGCAACAGTGTAAAAATCATCACTCACAGTGTAACCGGATTCACTTACTATAACTGAATGCATGAATAATGGGATTGTGGAAACATTGTAGAGTGCAACACTACACCGTCAATAACTATGAAGAAACGAGAGTCTATGATGGAAGGGTTCCCAACGTGCCTACTGCATCTCATTCACAGCTGTGTGTGTGTGTGTGTGTGTGTGTGTTGGCTGACCAGGTGCGTGTTGATGGAGTGCAGGCTGCCGACCGTCCAGTCCACCTCAGGCAGCGGTGATCCAGATCCATTGCAGCTCACTGTCACATTGTCGCCCTCCATCACCAACACACTGCTGTGGCTCACACTGATCTCTGGTAAGTCTGGAAACACACACACACACACACACACACACACACACACACACACACACACA